CTGCCCTCCACCCCGTGAATGCCCCCACGGTCCCTGCCTGCCTTCAGCAAACCAGACACCTGGCCCCCCCCCCTTCTCCAGTCCCCCAGCTTCCTCGGCACCAGCTCATTCTCCTTCCTGACATCAGTCTCCTGGAGATGACGTTTGCTGCCGTTTGCTGCCGTTTGCTGCCAGGTGATGGCAGGGACCTCTGTTTTGTTCTTGGCTGTCACCTCGGAGGCCAGAACCACTGCACACAGTAGGTGGTCAATAAATGTTTGTTGCACTGATGAACGAACAAGTTGTTTGTTTAAAAAGGTTTCTTGTGAAATTCTTTTTTTTAAGTTTCTTTTTAAAATGTATTTATTTTATTTTTGAGAGAATGAGAGCGTGAGCAAAGGAGGGGCAGAGAGAGAGGATCCGAAGCAGGTTCTGTGCTGTCAGCACGGAGCCTGACGTGGGGCTCAAACCCACAATCCGCGAGATCATGACCTGAGCCAAAATCAAGAGTCGGATGCTCAACTGACTGAGCCCCCCAGGCACCCCTGAAATTCCTTTTTTTAAAGTTTATTTATTCATTTTGAGAGAGAGAGAGAGAGAGAGAGAGAAGGATGGGCAGAGAAAGAGAGAGAGAATGCCTAGCAGGCTCCACATTGTCTGCACAGAGCCTGATGTGGGTCTCGAACTCATGAACTGTGAGATCATGAGCTGAGCCAAAATCAAGAGTCAGACACTTAACCCACTGGGCCACCCAGGCACCCCACAAACAAGTTACTGACACATCCTTCTTCCTCATCCCTTACATCTAGCCCAGGACCAAATTCTGTCCATGTTTCATTCTAAATATCCTTTGGCTCCATGCATTTCTTCCCCCAGCCATCCCCACCAGCCTGATCCAGCGCCTGCTGAGTGAGTCATTGAATGAAGAGGTGGAGGAGAGCAGGTCTTTCTGGAAAGTTCTCTCAAGAAAGCATAGTGGCTGGGCGTGTGGGCTCTGATGTGAATCCTGATGGCATATTGATTGGGCTGTTCATTCCTATCATTTTTCCCTATTCTGAATACACGGTAGCATTGCACTTGCCTACCCCTCTTGACATTAGATCGGATCGCATGCCCTCCTTTGGCTGATGAGATGTGAACACGAGGGTCACTTCCAGGTGAAAGTCTTTAAAAGCCTGCATGCTTTGCCGTGTCCCCTCCCTTTTCTGGTACAGTGATGGACTCTGTCAGCCTGGTTCCAGAATGAGGAGATGCAAAACAGGGCTCTCCAGACTCTGCTCACGTTTGCCTAACTGAGATGAACATGAAACACGAAGAAGAACTACACCTTTCCTCTTTGAAGCCACCGAGATGGTGGGGCTGTTTGTTACTGCAGCCTAACCCAGCTCATCCTGACCACAATGCTGGCCTCTCCTGATACTTGTTGTGTGTCCTTGGGACAATCATTTCACTTCACTGAGCCTCCATTTCTCCATCTGCAGAAATGGGAATAAAACAGTCCAGGCCTCGCCAGGCTATTTTGAGAATTCAAGCAATTCACGTAAAGACACGAAGGCCCGGCTCTATTTACTGGAGCCATTGGTATCATCATGTTTACATCTGGCTTCGTAGTGGAGGAAGAAGACCTCACTGGCATCCCACTGGCCAGGGCTGGAGTCGGAGGAGTGTGTATCGGTCAGCGAGGGGCTGCCATAACAAAACACTACAGACTGGTGACGTCAATGACAGACATTTATTCTCTCGCATTTCTGGAGGCTGGACGTCTGAGATCAAGGAGTCAGCAGGTTGGTTCCTCCTGAGGCCTCTCTCCTTGGCGTGCGAACGGCAGTCTCCTCGTCTGCCCATGACCTTGTCTCCACGCCTGTGGGCATCCTTAGTACATTTCCCTCCCATAAGGACACCAGTCCTATTGCACCCTATGACCTCATTTAACCCTAATGATCTCTTTAATTAAAAAAAAATGTTTATTTATTTTGGGAGAAAGGTGAGCAGGGGAGGAGCGGAGAGAGGGAGAGAGAGAATCCCAAGCAGGCTCTGCGCTAACCGGCACAGGGCTCCAGCCCACGAACCGTGAGATCATGACCCGAGCTGAAATCAAGAGTCAGACTCTTGACCAGCTGAGCCACCCAGGCGTGCCCCTAATGATTTCCGGAAAGGTCCTGTCTCCAAATACAGTCACAGGGAGGGTTAGGGTTAGGGCTTCTACCTACACATTTTGGGCAACATGATTCAGTACACTAGGGTTGGTACTGAGTGAGCCAAAACACATGTAGTCAGGCTCAGAGAACTCGTTCTTGAAGATGCTGTCATCTTGAAAGTGAGGGGGTGCACTAATTAAGATTTAGAAGGAGGCAGGTGCAAAGAATCCAAAGTGACCCTAGCTCCGACAAGACAGGAGTCTTTCTCTCTTAGTAATTTAGCTAATCTGGTGAGGTGGCTCCGTCCGAATTGCTGTCCCTGCCCGGCTCTAGCCTGGCTCTCCGCCACCCTTGTCCATGTCATTCCCAGATGGCTCCCACCACATCGTTTCTCCAGGCCTCCCAGAAGGGTGGGCACAGAGGGGGGCATGCTCTCCCTGTAATGATGTGGCTTGAGGACTGAGCATAGGTCTCACTCCTGCTCGCATCTCATTGGCCTGGAGTTAGTCACATGACCATATCCAGCTGCAAGGCAATCTGGGAAATGTAGTTTTTTTTTAATGCTCAGCCCGCACACGCTTGGTTAAAAACCCAGTACTGAGGAGAAGGGAAGAATGGATTTTGGGGTTCGACAAGGAGTTTCTGGAAAAGAGGAGAGGAGAGGAAGGCAGGCACGGGGTCCCCTGATACTCTGCACTCTAGCAGCCAGGCCTGGGGTTGACCTGCCCAGCGCCGACCTGGTTGACCTTCTCAGAAGCTGCAGAGCAGGGGCTGAGGATGGAGAAATCCTTACAGGGAGTATTTGCATAGTGAGTCAGCGGCAGCTGCCACTTCCCTTCCTGCGAAGTCTTCCTCATCCTCTGTATTAGTGTCCTGGGGCCGCTGTAACCTATTGCCATGAGCACAGTGGCTTAAAACAATAGGGATTTATTGGCTTGCGGTTCTGGCGCTCAGAAGTCCGAAAGGGGTCTGTCTCCCTGGGCGGAAATCAAGGTGTCGGCGGGGCTGGGCTGCTTTCTGGAGGTTCTAGGGAAGAATCTGTGTTCTTGCCCTTTCCAGCTTCTGGGTCCTGCTCATGCCTCTTGCCATCTTCAAAGCCAGCAAGGGCCTGTCGAAGTCTCGCCCATCACACGCCTCTGACTCCGTGGCTTTGGGGCCCTTCCTCCATCCTCAAAGTACGGTATCACTCCAATCTCTGCCTCCTTTATTACAGCTTCTTCCCTGCTCTCTCCCCTCCTGGGTCCCTTTCATAAAGACCCTCGTGATTATATTTAGGGCTCCCTAGGGTCTTCCAGGATAATCTCCCTATCTCAGGATCCTTAACTTAAAAAATTTTGTTTTAATGTTTATTTATTTTTGAGAGAGAGACAGAGCATGAACAAGGGAGAAGCAGAGAGAGAGTGAGAGAGAGAGAGAGAGAGAGAGAGAATCCAAAGCAGGCTCCAGGCTCTGAGCTGTCAGCAGAGAGCCGGACGCGGGACTCAAACCCACCAACTGCAAGATCATGTGCAGAAGTCAGATGCTTAACTGACTGAGCCACCCAGGCATTCATCGGGATCCTTAACTTAATCACACCCGCAAAGTCCCTTTGGCCGTGTAAGGTAATGTTCACAGGGCATTAGGACATAGACAACTTTGAGGGGCCATTTTCAGTCTCCCAGGCTTTTTTTCAGCTCTTGGAGCAAAAGCTACAGGCTGTTGGGCCTTACATGCCCTGCACCGTATCCAGCTCGCCATCTCCCTGACCCCACCTCCCACCCTTCCCCCTTCCTTCTTTGCTCCCGTCACCCTGGCCTCTTTGTTGCTCCTTGAACTCCCCAGGCACCAACCTACCTCGGGACCTTTGCACTTGCTGTTTCCACTGCCTGGAATGCTCTCCCTCCAGATCCCTATACAGTGTCCTCTCTCTCCTCCTTTAGGTCTTTGCTCATTGTCACCTTCTCAGTGATGCCCTCTCTGACCTTCCCAAATCACAATGCCTTGGGGCGCCTGGGTGGCTCAGTCGGTTGAGCATCCAACTCCTGATTTAGGCTCAGGTCGTGATCTCACGGTCATGGGATTGAACCCTGCGTCGGGCTCCATGCTGAGCGTGGAGCCTACTTGGGATTCTGTCCCTCCCTCACCCTCTGCCCCTCCCTCACTTGCACGTGCACGCACACGTGCTCTCTCTCTTTCTCCAAAAATCCCAATCCCTCAATACTTCCAGCCCCCCTTCTCTCTTTATCTCCCCAGTGCACTTATCACCATCCAGCATACCACGGATGTTAGTTACTGCGACCGGTGACTCTCTCCTCTGCCACGGCGCCCCTCTCGGAGGACAGAAGTGATGGTCTGTTTTGGTCCCTCCCAAAGCCGAAAGATCCAGAACTGTGCATAACACGTGGCTTATTTATTGCTGAATGAGTGAATAAATTAAGGGGTAACCGACTGGAGAAACGATGTGGTGGGAGCCATCTGGGATGACATGGACAAGGGTGGCGGAGAGCCAGGCTAGAGCCGGGCAGGGACAGCAATTCGGACGGAGCCACCACGCCAGATTAGCCAAATTACTAAGAGAGAAAGACTCCTGTCTTGTCGGAGCTAGGGTCACTTTGGATTCTTTGCACCTGCCTCCTTCTAAATCTTAATTAGTGCACCCCCCACCTTCAAGATGACAGCATCTTCAAGAACGAGTTCTCTGAGCCTGACTACATGTGTTTTGGCTCACTCAGTACCAACCCTGGTGTACTGAATCATGTTGCCCAAAATGTGTAGGTAGAAGCCCTAACCCTAACCCTCCCTGTGACTGTATTTGGAGACAGGACCTTTCCGGAAATCCCACATCTGGGACCCGGGGTCGGGTGGGGGTAGGGAGGGCTGGGGGGGGCGGGGCAACGGGCAGAAATTGGCCACAGGTTCTGAAAGACTGGGTCCTGAGAGGGGCTGGTCTACCCCTGCCTGAGCAGGGAAGGGGTCTCCGCTGGCAACTGAGCAGGTCTGTCGTCGGGGCCACAGTCTGTGAGGCCAGCCCTCCCCGCCATGCGCCTTATCCTTCGGGGGCCTGTGCGGTGGGGGTTGCCTTGTCCCCAGGGGAAAGGGCTCCCAGGACAACCAGGGAGCAGGGGTGGGGCGTTGCGAGCTGACAGAAGTCCCCCAAGTAGGCGCCTGTGAGGTCTGGCTAGAGGCAGGCCCGAGACCTCTCTCCCCACCCCCAGGTACGCAGCGGGGGGAGGTGGTACTTTGGGTGGGACAAGGACAGAGCCGGCCTTTCCCTGGCGAGCGGCCCAGGGTGTGGAAGGACCAGAATTGAGAGTGGGCTGTACACTCAGCGGGTCCAAGAGGAACTGTGCCCATCACGGTCTCTTTTCCCTGCCCAGGACACCTGCCCAAGTCTTCCTCTGAGTCCACCTCGTTGGCCGCCGGCCCCTGGCGGGGTCTCCGGCATGGCTTTCCTGTGCGCCAGGCCCCAGGGGAAGGCTGAGGCTTTCGCTCCTCCTTTCTGGGGCCCCTTCAGGGCCTTGGCACGAGCTGGCAGTAAGGAGCAGGGTCGGGGTTCAGCAGGTCCTGGTGGGGGAGGGAGAGAGGGGGATTTTGGGGGGGGGGTCAGAGTCGGGGTCAGGCGGGCCCTGACCTGCTGTGTGACCCTGGGCACCGCCCTTCCCTCTCTGGGCTTCATTTCCTCTTGTGTGAACTCACAGCCTTGGAAGGTTTCTAAGAAGGAGAGAAGTGCCTCCCGAGCAGGGGTGAGGCTGTGCTGTGTCCGTGCTACCCCTACCTGCGGAGGGAGCTGCGGACCCTGAGAGCAGGTGGACAGCAGTCGGGTGAGGGTGGCCCCTCCCACCCGGCCATGGTCATGACCCCATGACCCCTCCCGCTTCCCAGCTCCGCACCTGGTAGTGGTGGTTCTCTGGCCCCCGAGGCGGGGGCGAGGGCAGGGGTGAGGGCAGGGGCTGCAAGGGAAGAGCAGGGGTGAGCCAAGCCCCTCGCAACGCGCACCCTCCAACCTTTGCCCTGAGCGGCATGAGAACAGACCTGGATTCCAAGTCCGCACGGTGCCCTCCTGACTCCGCGGGGAGAGAGGGGGGGCAGAGGGGCGTCCAGTGTTCTGACAATGACCCCTAGGTCTCCCGTCCACACCGGCCCTTCTGAGCTTTTTAGTTTTAGCTTTTGCTAAATGTCTGCTCTCATTCAACGAACTTTTTCTTACTATCAGCCCTTCCCACCCAATAGTAAAGGGAATATCTGCTCAGCTAGAAACTACAGCCAAATGGAAGAGAAACTAGAGTCCCCCACCAGTCTCCACGCCCCAGGGACAAATGCTCCTTATGTTGTGTCCCTTTTCCAGTCTCTTTTCCTGGTGGCTTTAAAGCAGGGAGCCTCAGAGAGAGTCGCGTTCCCACAGTGTGGGCCAAGGGGCCGGGTGGGCTTTGGGGGACGGGGTGGGGGCTCACCAAGGCGGTGTTCACAGACCCCGTGTCACTGAGAGGGGACACCAGGAGGGTCGGCGACGGCATCACTTCGTAGATGTTCTCGTCACCTGAAGCAGAGGACAAGGGAGGAACCAGCCGACAGGTGGCCAACGGCCGTGCTCTCTGCTGTCAGCATTCATTTATTCAGCTAACATTTGTGCAAAGCCCTCCTCTCACCCAGAGGCGAGTGGGGGAGCCCAGGGCTCCCGGAGGTGGGTCAAGGAGGGCTTCCTGGAGGAGGGGACATCTGAGACTGAAAAAGGAAGAGAAGGCTACGCAAAAGCAGGAGTGAGTAGGTGCAGCGGTCTGGCAGAGACAGCCTGCCATGTTTGAAGAGCTGTGCTACGCTTGGTCTGTCTGGATTATATATATATGTATGTATAGCCTGTTTTGTATCATTTCCTTTCTGAGGGTGGGAATGTTCCATGTGGAGATGAAGCCAGGGGAGATGGGGGAGGGGAGATGGGACCGTGTATGGGGGTCTTGAGAGCCATGTTAAGGAGCCATGACTTTGTCCTAAGGACACTGGGGAGCCATGGAGGGCTTGTGAGCAGAGAGGAGTGACGAGATGAGAGTGTTAGAAGCACTCTGCCCAGGGATGGGGTGGAGGCCAGCCTGGAGGCCCGGAGACCAGCAAGGAGCTGGGTGTGGGGATCTGGGAGACGGGGCGAGGGCACTGGGCATGCCAGCCACTGAGAAGAAGACGAAAAACAGGTTTGGGGTGGGTGCTGACTGTTCAGAGTCTGTGGGCTGAGTCTGGAGAGCCCTGGAGAGGTCTGGGTGGGGCGGGTGATGGGGGGGCCCCCAGTGGGGAAGGGCAGGGGGTGTGGCTGACCGGGAGAAGAGGAAGGACTCCTGGCTTACCGGCACTGTGACGGGGTTGCGTCTCTGGTTTCTCTGGGGTTGTCATCCTGGGGGTATAAGGAGGGAGCCAACCTTAGGGCAGTAGGCTGCTCAGGTGGGTGGAGACTCAGAGAAGCCCATCAGCTCATGAGAGAGAGAGAGAGAGAGAGAGTCCCTGCTTCAGAGTGAGCCAGGACCTGCTCCCTCCCCCCTGCCCTTCTCACATAATCTCCAGCCACAGAGCCCTTCCTCAGTTTCCCCAGCTGCTACTGTGTACCAACGGCCTGTGCCACAAGTGATACAGACCATCTAAATCCTGGATACCCTTCTTTAAACGATACACTTGAGGGGTCCCCAGGGGGCTCAGTCAGTTAAGGGTCTGACTCTTGGATTTCGGCTCAGGGCATGGTCTCACAGTTCGTGGGATCGAGCCCCGCATCGGGCTCTGCTCTGACAGCATGGAGCCTGCTTGGGATTCTTTCTCTCTCCTCTCTTTCTCTCTCAATATAAATAAGTAAGCTTTAAAAAAAATTAAAAAGTGAAAAAGTACACTGGACATCACTGCAGCCAATCCCTCAACTCACGAAACAGATAATTTACAGAACACACACCGTGGGCTGGGCCCCGTTGAAGCCACTGGGGACACAGCTGGGAACAAGACAGACAAGGACCCCTGGCCTCCTGGAGCAGGCATTCTAGTGGGGAGAGAGAGAGAGGAGTCAAATAAATGACTGGCAGTAGAACGTCAGGGAGTGAAAAGTGCTATGAAGGAAAACGAAGATGGAAAGGGGCAGAGGGTAGGGTGTGTGTGTGTGCAGTTTTAAGTAGGATGGTTTGGGGAGCCTCACTGGAAGGTGACATTTAAGCAAGTGCCTGATGCAGGCAGGGGAATCAGCTATGTAGAAATCATGGGAAGAGAGTTCTAACAGCTTGTGCAAAGGCCCTGAGGCAAGAACAGGCATAGCAAAGGAACAGCAAAGACAGGAGTATGGCTGGGGCAGAGAGTGTGAGGGGCAGAGAGGGGAGAGGGGGAGGTCAGAGGGGGCAGTGGGTCAAGCTAGGTCTTGTGTCCATGGCGAGGACTTTGGCCTTGACTCTGAGGGACCCGAACTGACTGATTTTCACAGGATCTTTCTGGGTGCTGACTGGGGAACAGACGGGGCGGGGGGATGCGGGAGTGGAAGCAGGAGACAGTTAGAAGCTGCCACATTATAATGAAACTCGACTTAAGTAGAAAGTGAGGAAAACGAAAGCCAAACAATGGTTTAAATCTGTAGCTCGACGGGGCTCCTGGGTGGCTTAGTCGGTTAAGCTCTTGATCTCCACTCAGGTCATGATTTCGTGGCTTGTGAGTTCGAGCCCCGAGTGGGGCTCTGCGCTGACAGCACGGAGCCCACTTGGGGTCCCCTCTCTCTCTGCCCCTCCCCCTCTCGTAAGTGTATGCTCTCTTAAAATAAAAAAATAACCTTATTAAAAAAAGATGGGACCACCGATTGATCGGTGAGCTGGACACAGGCACGCGAGGGCTCCTCGCCCCCATCCGTGTCCTGGGAATGTGGGTTCTACCTGCCTCCTCTGCTCCTAGTGGCCTCTCCAAGGACATGGCCTTGAGACGGCCTGTGGTGCTGAGCACACCTGCGCGGTGGACGTGACTGAGCCTAGTAGGGCCTCCTTGACCCAGACAAGCCTGTATCCGAGTTTCCTTGCTTCGTGAAACTGCTGCCTACCCACCTGGAGGGGCGCCCTCCTGGGAAGCCCCCAGGAGAGTTAGGGACCCGCATCGCCTCTTTTAGTGCCGGCTGTGAGCCAAGGAGGAGGCCGGGCTGAGGCACCTTCCATCCCTCCGGCCGTGGCAGACATGACTAATCGATCACAGCACCTGCTCCCACTGAACCCAGGCACCGCCTCCAACTCCTCTTCCAGGGCACACAGTAGGCCCTCCACAGATGTGTGCTGACTGATTCGTGCGCACAACCCCTTAGCTTGGAGCGTGTCGGGAGAGAGACACGTAGAAGGATGAAGATGGAGAGACTGCGGCACCTGAGGGAGGGTGGGAGGAGGAGATAAAGTTGCTGCCTTCATTCTCCGGGGATTAGGGAGGCCGGAAAAATCACACGGCTGCAAGCGAGGTCAGGACAGAGAGTTCTCAAGAGGCTGATTTCATGTGGAAGGAATTTGTCATGAACCCATGGTTCCCTGGGAAAGTGCTCCCCCCCACCCCCCCGCCCCGTGCAGACGGAGCCACCATCGGATGCCTTTGCCTGTCCACCGTGCACTCTGCTTTTTTAGGAAGAGTCTGGTTTTTTTGGGGGGGAACCCCTCCCCACTCTGAACCCATCTGGTCATGTGGAGCTGGGGTCTCTTTCTGGCTCCACAGCTGGACAAACAGCCCAAGTTTGGGCGATCAGGGTATTTTGGCATCTGGCCACAGTGGTGGGTCTGCATGAGGACGTGTGATTTCAGTTAAGCCAGTGAGAAGCAGCGCTGAGGCTTCTGTTGGAAGTGTTAGGAGCACAGTGCGGTGGCCCCCGAACTTTTGGGACATAAGCCCAGAGCCACTGGGGGCTCTCTTGTCACGCCACCCAAGGGGAGCGCCTGCCTCAGAAAAGCCGAGTTGAAAGGTGTATGGAGGAGTCCCTTGACGACATCGGGTCCCTGGATCCAGCCATACCTGAAGCTCATGTAAGAGAAGAAAAAAAAACACCTTTCTAATTTTTCACAAGCCCATTCAAAGGTAGGGTTTCTGTCCCTTGAAGTGCAGACGTCTCTCTAACACAGGATGGAAAGAGCCTTTTCACCTCAAGAGTTCTGAGATTTGATGAGAGTGTGTATGTGAGTCAGATGACGTGACTTATGGAAGAATTGGCCAGTGGGACCCGAGGGGAGGGGAAGAAGATGGAGGGAAGGAGGGAGCGGCCTGGGGGCCCCGTACCTGTGGCTCTGGCCCCTCCAGCTGCTTGTTAACAGGAGGTGGGCCACGCTCCCGATGAAGAGGGATCCAGCAGCAAGGGATCCGATAATGACGGCAACCAGGATCCCAGCGCTCATGGGCAGGTGTGTAACGGGCGGCTCCTTGTGCTTCTCTGAGGGGCATGAGAGAGAGCAAGAGGCCTATGAGATGTCCTGGGAAGGTCTCCCCGCTCCCCTCACCCCTGTCCACAGACACCGATGTGCAATTTCAGCTTCTCAGCACGGAGCTCTCTCCTGCTTTTCAGCGTTGAGCGTCCGACTCTCTGGTTGATTTTGCTGCACACAAAACGCAGCCACACCAGATGGAGCCCCTTGGCTCTCCCCTCTCTGAGATCTCTGCTTCCCTGAGATTTCCTACTGTCCTCAGCACATCGGAAACCTACCTCCTGACACACTCTTCCCACTGCACACCCCCCACCCCGACCTACTTTCTCTTGCCTCAGTGGGTGATCCCTCCATCCTTCTAGTGAAAGGATGAGGTTCTGGGCTATGTTTTGTGGGGGGCATAGGGTCTTGGCTCACAGGGTTCTCCAACACTACCTGCCATGTTTGGGACGAAGCCCATCTGACTTCTGACTCCCACCATGAGGACCTCCGGCCTTTAATACCAAGCTGAGTACCTGCTATGTCCCAGCCCTTCTTGGCACCTAAGCTCGTAGACTCTGAGGTCAGAATGCTGGGGTTCAAGTTCCTGGGTGGATACTCAAACTTTGGTGCCTCTCCCAATCTGTGAAATGGGGATAAGAATATCTACCTTGTGAGGTTGTTGTGAAGATTGAATCGATTTATACACACACACACTGCTCTTTCAATTTTCCAACAAAGTAGGTTCTGTGCCATTTTAAAGATAAGGAAACTGAGGCACAGAGAGGTGAACTAACCTGCGTGATGGCTTACAGCAGGTGCAGTGCCGGGATTACACCTGGGCCACCTGAGCTCCTAATGACCACTCTGTGTGGCTTCCAAAAAGTCATCTATGTCCCAGGAGCCTTTGAAGGGTGCGAATGAACTGTTTCAGGCTCTGCGTGAGTGAAGACTGTTATTTCCAAACAGATTAGGGCATCATTATATATATTTGTGTAACTAAATCTCTCAATATTTGCTGATTTCATCCATTTCCCTGAAAGCTGATCTGTTTGAAGTGTCCAAAACCCATTTTCAAATTTAATCTTCTCACTGGGAGGAAGAAGGTAGCTCCTGTCTGGGCTTATGTGGTCGTTGACCCCACAGCGCAGGGAAGTGGCTGAGTTAGGCCCATTTTGCAGATGGGCACACCAAGGCCCAGAGGGGTTGCATTTGGGCAGAGGAGAGAAGACAGTCCGTCTTCCAGACGCTGTGTTAGCAACGTTTGCACCTTCTAACTTTATTTTTTTTTTTAATTTATTTCTAGGAGAGAGAGAGAGACAGCGTGAACAGGGGAGGGTCAGAGAGAGAGGGAGTCACAGACTGAAACAGGCTCCAGGCTCTGAGCTGGCAGTCAGCACAGAGCCCGATGCGGGGCTCGAACCCACGAACCGCGAGATCATGACCTAAGCGAAAGTCGGACGCTCAACCGACTAAGCCACCCAGGCACCCCGCACCTTCTACCTTTAAAAAAAAATTTTTTTTTTCAAGTAGGCTCCACACCCAACATGGGGCTTGAGCTCACAGCCCTGATGCTCTATGATTGAGCCAGCAGGCTCCATGACCAGCGCGGAGCCCAACGGGGACTCGAATCCATGACTCTGGGATCCTAACCCGAGATGAAATCAAGAGTTGGTCGCTCAACCGACAGAGCCCCCGGGCGCCCTGCCAGAGGTATCTTTGATTAGATACAAACAAATTTGGGAAAAGGGCTCTGAGAGCCCATTATAAAAGTGGACAACAGCCAGCTCGTATGCAAAAATAGAATTTTGACCCGCAGCCTGCAGCGAGCTGCCCAGAGCACTGACCCTGTTAAACAAGCCCAGGAAGCCAGCCTGCTTTGGGTCAGACTTGCAGGAAACAGCATTCCTATCTTCAGTGACAATCCAGGACGACAAAAAGTCACAGCTGTAAGAATTGGCCTTAAATGACCAGGGCTTGATTAACCACCAACAGCTTCCATAATGTCCCGCCCTGCTTCTAACTTCGGACCAATCAGAGAAAGCCAAGTAGGCAGCTCAGCCAATCGCCTTCTAGGTCCCTGGGCAACGGGCTCCAATCAGGGCCCGGCTGAAGCCTGGTCCCGTTGCCACTAGGAAGCGTTGGCGTCGCTGCCCAAATACAAGAGGGGCTGCGTCCCAGGCCAGCGCAGCTCCGAATAAATACCCTTCGCTTTCCTCACTGGGCAGCCTTTGCTGATGCCCACAGCTTCACAAGGATTTGCCAACCAGTCCTCACCCCGACCCCTGGAGGGACGTGTCATTGCCCCCATGTCACAGACGCTGTGGGAACAGAGGCTCTGAAAGGTTCCGCCCTTTGACTAAAGGTAAATCCTGCGGGTAAGTCTTAACCCCATGACGCGTCCCGTTAGCCCTCGCTGGTGGTTGTTCATGGTGAAGGCAGAATCAAGTCATAAAAGCGGGGGCTCCTTTGCTGGGTGACCTGGGGGAAGTTACTTAAACGCTCTGTGCCTCAGTTTCTCCATCTGTATAATGGGGATCATTGCGCCGTGGCTGGGAGGACATAAAGGATAAATGTGTGGAACACTCTGCACGTGTCCAGTAAAGGGGAGCTGGGCTCTGTAATTAACTGCATTGGGTGTCAGAGGGCCCGGAAGGCTTTGAGGAACCCGTGCAAGGTGGCTTGAAGGTCCCAAGTCCCCGCAGCTATATTTAAGGGAGAACAGACACGGGCTGTAAATGACTGCGATCCCCTTCTGGCTTTTGAGCCCGGTTTAGGCTGCTTAACGGCTGTGGGACCTCGAGCGACTGACTTTATCTCTCCGAGCCTCTGTTTCCTCATATGTACCCTGGGGACAGGTACAGGACCTCCGTGTCCTGGGCCTCTCTTGTGTTTTCAGGCTGTGGCCTCCTGGGGGGTTCTGCAAGCCTTTAGTAACCCCCCTTCCATGCGTGCCAGCTGGGGCTGGGCTCTCTTTCAAATTCCTTCAGGATTCAGAGAGATAAAGCATGAGAATTACCCGGGACACAGGAAGGGCTCCCCCCCCCATGTCCGTCCCCCACCCCACCCCCAGCAGCTGTCCTCCAATATAAATGCCCTGGCTGCTTCTCCCCTACAGGCCCTTTGCACAGGCCAGACCCATCCTGCCACGAGGACACGCCCGACCCCATGCCTCGTTCCCTCTGTTATCTCCGGCTTTTCCTTTGCACTTCCTTTCGCCAAACCGTTCTGCTTCCTGTTCCCTATGCTCAGCCCTCTGGCATTTCCCACAAGGGATTTCCCAGGAGGGAGTGGATCCCACCGGGCAGAGAAAGAACCAGGTGGCAGAGGGCCAGGGACATGGACTCAGACCCAGCCAGGGCTCTTGCTTCCTGCCGTTCCCAGCCGCATGGTGGCCTCTTTGTAAAATGAGGGTCATCTCAGATCTTGTGGGAATGGAATGCAGTGAGGTCAGCCAAGCGCTTGGCTTAGAGGGGCCTGGCATCCAGTGGGTGCCCCTGGATGGGAGGTGGAGCTACAAACACTTATGAAATACCTACTGTGTGCTAAGCACTGCTCGGCCCTTGGGGATTCATGGTGGACAAAACAATAGGTACATATTATGATATGAGGAGAGCAGGTGTTGAGCCCTCGTCCATCTGTCCAGTCCTGATCCCCAGGCCTCTCCCACTCCTTGGACAAGGAGCAGACCCTTCACTCAAGGGGACGGAAACCACAGGCAAGGCTGGGATCAGCCATATTCTGTCTCCGCCTCTCTGTCTGTCTCTTCAGCTAGCTCTCTCTCTTTTTAAAATGTTTATTTACTTTTGAGAGAGAGACAGCGTGAGCAGGGGAGGGGCAGAGAGAGAGGGAGACACAGAATCCGAAGCAGGCTCCAGGCTCTGAGCTGTCAGCACAGAGCCCCACACGGGGCTTGAACTGTGAGATCATGACATGGGCTGAAGTCGGGCGCTTAACTGACTGAGCCACCCAGGCGCCCCAGCTCTCTTCCTTTCTATCTCTGCATTTTGGAAGGCGAGATTCAGAATATGCAAAGAAGCCTATGCTGACACCAGCTTGAGGTCTGGCAGGAATCCCCGGTGGTGAAGACGAGAATGGAGCCTATGAGCCGAGAGGAAGCCAGAGGTGGCACCCCCTGGAGGAGAAGGGAGCACTTGCCTTTCTGACAACTTCTATTTCCTATCAGCCCTGCGGGGCTCCCCACCCATTCATTTATTCAGCAGTGTGTCTGGCCCTGTTCTAGGCTCCGAGGAGACAGCTGTGAACCCAGGCCTCCCGGAACGGACGTTCCAGGGGGCTTCCTCCAGGGTTCTACAAGGCTCCCTACACTATGAGTCATTTGCAGAGAGCTTCTGCCCTTAAAACCCGAGCCTTGGCTTGAAAACATCCCCCAGCGCTGGCCTAGGATGCCTCTCCTGATCTCCCGCCTCAGTCATGCTGGCCTCCTGCCAGCTCAGTTCATGAGCCCCACAGCTTCTTGCCACAGGCCCTTTGCACAGACCAAACCCTCTGCCTGGAAACCTCCCAAAGCTCCTTTCCCCTCTACTTAGAATTGCCAGTCATGATTCAAGCATTGTTGAAGGACCACCTTTCCAGAGCAACCTCCCTGCTATCGCTATTTACAATTTCATCATCCCTGTATGCATGTGCCTTTCCTTCGTGGTCCCTGCACTGTTCCTAATGATCTATTTTGTGTGTGTGTGTGGTTATTAGTTAATATCTGTCTCCCCCGCTGGGCTGTGAGCCCCCAGGAGGGCAGGGCCAGGGCTGCCCCAATCTCCACTGTGTCCTTGCACTGACCAGGGCAGTCCAGACGCCGAGGCGGTCTCGGGGAAGAGGCTCTTGGGGGAAGCTTTGCTGAAGGAACGAGTGAAGGAGCTGTTCAGCATCTGCAGAGGCGGCTCTGTGTGTGAATCAGGCGGCCCTGCATTCAAATCCCAGCCCTGAGGCTGATATTTGGGACATGCCTTAAACCACCCAAATCTCAGCTTCCTTCTAAATAAAACAGAGATTTAACCATGGGTGGGTTAAAGTGTATCAGATCACTCTTCCGTTTAATTTCCTCTAGTGGCTTCCTTGGTTCTCCCCATGGCCACCAAGCCTGGCCCCTGTGTGCCTCTCAGGCCTCGACTCCAAACACCCAGCTTGCTCACTGCCTTATGGCCACGGCATCCTTCTGTCTATATGCTTTGACGCCAAGCTAGACTTGCCTCAGGGCCTTTGCACTTGCTCTTCCCTCTTCTGTCCCTCAGAAATCTGCAGAGCTCCTTTCCTTCCTTCTGCTCAAATGTCACTTCTTCAGCAAGCTTACTCAATGACCTCCCATCCCACATTACGTCATACTGTTTAATCTTTTTTTTTTTTTTTTTTTACTGGGCAAATCATAACCTCCCTGTGCCTCAATTCCCTCATCTGTGAAATGAGTCTGATGATATTTCCCAACCACATGTCTGCAGCGAAGATTAAATGAGTTATATATAAAGCAAGCATGTAATAAGCACCAAATAATGTTAGCTCTAATTATTGTTAATGTCTCTGAAGTATGGTCTTAATTCATCATTTCCAGGCTCATTATCAGCATCCCACATATGAATAAGGAGGTTTTATTTCTCTTTCTCTCCTCTGAGAGGAAGTGGGTAAGTGCCCAGCCTCTGGCGTTGTGACTTTGTGGGATCAAGTCCCAGCTCTACCACGCTCTGGGCCTCAGTGTCCCCATCTGGAAAGTAGAGACGACAATGGTGTCTGCCTCATGGAGTTTTTGGTTTTGAAAGTTTTCATTCATTTTTTTCATTCAATAAACATTAACTGAGAACCCGCTGTGTCCCCCACCCACCACCCCACTGTGGTAGATGTTGGATGATTAAAGGACCGGTACTTTCTCGCTCTCTTGCTTTGAAGAATTACTATTCTTGTGAGATACGTTTGGGATGGGATAAGTCAGAGGACATTATGAAAATCACAGAAGTAATGGCATGATCAGAGTCCTCTGGGGACACATGGTCAATGACCCAGTCGGCCTGAGAGGGTTGAGACATTATTTCCCCCCCCACCCCAGCTCTATTGAGATATAATTGATATAGAACATTTGATAGAGGTTTTACATGAAATTAAATGTTAAAGTGTATTTACTTTTATTTAAGTAATCTCTATACCCAACGTGGGGCTCAAACAACCTGGAGACCAAGAGTTACATGCTCTTCCAACTGAGTCAGCCAGGGGGCGCTCTCATCCCTTTTTTTTTTTTTTTTTTTTTTAAAGCTACAAATGAGTTAATATAGAGCAGTGGCTCTCAACCAGGGGTGACATTTGGCGATGTCTGGAAACAGTTCCGGTTGTCACAACTGGAGAGATCGTCCTGGCATCTAGGGAATAGAGGCCGGGAAGCCTCTAAGTATCCTGCAGTGTGAAGCCCTGTCCTACAAAGAATTGGCCAGCCCAATATGTTAGCTGCCCAGACGGAGAGGCTATGCTCTAGGGCAAGTGTGTCTGAGTGCCTGTGAACTGGCTGTTGCCCTTGTTCACCACTCTCTCTAGCACTTTGCCCTGAGTGGCTTCCTCAATAAATACTTGACTTATGACCACGAAGACGGAGAAGTGTAGTGTAAACCTTAGGACCACGTACACCACAGGAGCTCAATAAATACCCTACTAATGAATGCATGGGAACAGTAAATGATATGTTGCATTCCCCAGGGTCTGGCACAAGGTGGGCATTCAACAGATATTTTGTCAGTGAGGGTTAAGCCATTGCTTCAGAGCCTGGTACACAGTAGGTGCTCAATCCGTGCCATCGAACGGATGAAGGAGAGGGCCAAACGGGGTGGTTTTTGCACACAGATCCTGAGTGCGGTTGCCTTTAGGGCGCATTAGCCTCCCCGCTCCCTCCCTTGGCGGGGCGACACTCACCCTCCACCTGGACCTCGGTCTTGGCCCTCATGGTCCAGGCAGGATTGATGGTGACGGCCACCTGGTAGGTGCCGCTGTCGGCGGGCTGGGCGCGATGCAGCAGCATGGAGCCGTTGGGGAAGCCCACGATGTCGCGCTGCCCCATGGCGCTGCCGTCCCTCTGGGGGCGCTGGAGCTCCGGGATGTAGGTGAATAACATGGTACCGCCGGAGGCCTCCTCCCCCAGGTACCAATTGAAGTCCTGAAAGGTGTCCGGGACGCCCTGGACACACAGGAGAAGGTCCTGGTTCTTTTGAGGATGCTCTGGAATCTTCTGGATGCGGAGGGCGGCCCAGGAGCCTTGGGGGACCCAGAGGGCCAGGACTGAGGCTGTGGGGAGTAACAGGGGTGGCCTGACATCAGAGGTGTTGGGCAGGGACCGTAGCGTCTCCTCCCTGTGCATCCTCATCTGGGGACAAGGACTCTGCTGTTCAGGGGAAACAGGGCTGGGATTGATTGGTGATGTCTGCCCTGGGGTCAGCAGCGGGAGCCCAGATACAAAGCCCGGATTTCTCATCCCATTGGTCCAGCATGTTTTTCTGCCCTGAGATGCTGTGTGGTCTCCTTCTAAACCCATGGGCTCTCTGAATTCACTCATTCATTCATTCATTCATTCATTCACCAATACTTACAGACATACATATTATGTATGGTATAATATGTCTAAACTTCTCTAGATTTCTAGGCACTGGGGATACAGCAGGGAAACAAATACAAACAAATTCCTGCCCCCATGATGGTCCAGGGGAAGGAGCCTGTGCTCCTGAACCTGCCCGGCTGTGGGTGCAGCCTTGGACCAGGCAGCCCAACCCTGACCTAAGTAAAAATTTTCCTGGGCTCTGAATGTGCGATCATAGGTGTGACCATTCTGGCCGCAGTTTGACGATCACTTATGATATTGCAAATAGGACCAAAAAAAACCGCACACAACCGCCTCTCCAAAACCCAAAATCCCTGTTCTCGTGGTCCTGACATTCTCGAAAATTCCATAGATGGGCACCTGGGTGGCTTAGTCGGTTAAGCTNATTTTGTTATTAACTGTCGTGTTTATCAGTATTTCCAGTGTGGCCCTCTTCATAGACCTTTGGGAGGATTACACTTCTTTGACCCCTGACATTAGGCACAGCCAAGTGACTTACTTTGCTCGATGAAATGTGAGTAGAAGCATTTAAGAAACCAGCTTGCAGGGGCGCCTGGGTGGCTTAGTCGGTTAAGCGTCCGACTTTCGCTTGGGTCATGATCTCGCGGTTCGCGGGTTCGAGCCCCACATCTGGCTCTGTGCTGACTGCCAGCTCGGAGCCTGGAGCCTGTTTCAGTCTGTGACTCCCTCTCTCTCTGACCCTCCCCTGATCACGCTGTCTCTCTCTCTCTCTCTCCTAGAAATAAATAAAAAAAATATTAAAAAAAAAGAAAAAAAAGAAAATTCCATAGTTAAAATTAGGAATGGGGTGTGATTCTACAGCTCACCGTCCTCCCTGCCCTCCCCCCATCTTACTCTTAATGATCTCCCCTTCCCTGACCGTCAGTCTTTCCCTCCTTCTAAGAGAAAACCTCAGCCCCTGGGCTGAGTCCTGCCTCCCCCCTCAGCCCTGGGGTGTGTTTCCTCCTTACCTGAGAGCAGCAGGCCCTTTGAGAAGCGGCGCTGGGTCCCCTCAGGACTCATCATCTTGGTGTCCTGTGGAGGTGCCAAGGGGCCACTGCAGGCGCAGAGTGCGTGGGCTGAAGTGGGCCGGCTCAGTGGGGGTCCTGGGGGTGACTCCCAGACATGGCGAGGCCGGCCGAGCCCCAGCACCCCCTTTCCGCAGGCTCCAGAGGCTTCACCTGTGCTCTGTGGGATGGGTGCCGACACTGGTTGAACCAGTTTTCCGGGGTGACTGGGGAGCTTCCTGGGGTTTCCCGGGACTCCTCCCTTAATCCCCCTCAAGCCCTCTCTTCTTTCCGCCCAGTGGGACTGTCAGGAACAACAGCAGTAATCGCGACAGGAATGGGGGCGGTCTCTGACTGAGCAATCTCCCCGGGCCAGGCAGATCCCTGCATGGAGCCCCGACGGAACCACCACACCCTCCATGCGTAGCTGTGCCCATTTCACAGATGGGGAAACTGAGGCTCAAGGAAGGAGGCAAGCCTACCAGTAGGTGGAGATGGGACTTGACCTGTGGCTGGTTATTCTATTTTTTTTTTAAATTTTTTTTTTTTTATTTCTAGGAGAGAGAGACAGCGTGATCAGGGGAGGGTCAGAGAGAGAGGGAGCCACAGACTGAAACAGGCTCCAGGCTCTGAGCTGGCAGCCAGCACAGAGCCCGACGCGGGGCTCGAACCCACGAACCGCGAGATCATGACCCGAGCGAAAGTCGGACGCCCAACCGACCAAGCCACCCAGGCGCCCCTGTGGATGGTTACTCTAAATAAAGCTTTGAGCATATTTCAAGAGCATCGTGCATGCACGCATTCATTCATTCCAGCACACACTGGAATTACTTACACCCAGCCCCGTGCTGGGTGGTGCTGAGGACACAGAGATGATTGAGACAGCTCTTGCTTTGTCCTCAGTCCACAGCAGGGCTCACAGTTCTGTGTCTATGTTGGGGAGAGGAACAGACCCATCCCCAGGCAATGATGATCCAGAGTGATCAGCACTGGGATGGAGGAGCCCAGGGGGCTGGAAGAGCCCCCAAAGATGCCTCACTCAGCCTGAGAGGCAGGGAGGGCTTCCTGGAGGAGGAGGCATCTGAACAGGTCTCTGTTCAGGGGAGAACAGAGACCTAGAAGTGGAGCAGCAATGAGACAGAGGTGCGGCAGGGTGGGGTGAGGTTTCCCAAGCATTGTAAACAGCACATGGAAGGGTGTGGAGGCTGAAATTTCTGGCTGAGTAGGGTTCAAGTAAGAGGGGGTGAGGCTGGAGAAGAAGGAGGGATCAGTTGGAATTTTGAGCTCTGTTCGAACAGGGTCTAGGTGATGGAGGCTCCAGGGTTGTGCTGATACCAATTAATTTCTCAGGGGGGCTCAGTTGGTTAAGCGTCTGACTCTTTGGTTTCGTCTCAGGTCATGGTCTCACGGTTCGTGGGTTCGAGCCCTGCATCGGGCTCTGCACTGACAGCGTGAAGCCTGCTTGGGATTCTCTCTCTCCCTCTCTCTCTGCCCTTGCCCCCCTCTCTATCTCTCAAAAAAAATGAGTTTCTCAAATTGGTCACTTAGAAATGCTCAACTGCCCCATGTGGCCAGTGGCTATTTGACTGTGCAAATATAGAACATTTCCATCACCAATGCAGACATTTCTTTTTCTTTTTAAAAGTTTTTAAAAACAATTTTAAAATGTTTTTTTAATTTATTTCTGAGAGAGAGACAGCATGAGCAGGGGAGGGGCAGAGAGAGAGGGAGACAACAGAATCCGAAGCAGGCTCCAGGCTCCGAGCTAGCTGTCGGCACAGAGCCCAACGTGGGGCTTGAACCCACGAACGGTGAGATCATGACCTGAGTGGAAGTCGGATGCTCAACCGACTGAGCCCCCCAGGTGCCCCTCTATTGCCTTCTTCTGAGCATGCTCAACATTCCATATTTGAACCTGAGCACTCTTACGTTGAATCTTTTCAGCAACCACTGACCTTATTATCCTGTTGGCTTTGGGTTCTTGGCTGCACGTGACCCACCTCTCTGAGCCTTGACTTCCTCGTCTGGAGAATGGGGACAAGCAACCCCACCTCACAGGGCTGCTGCTGCGAAGGGTAAGGAGATGTTCCTGCAAGAGGCCTCGCAAGCTTGCAACAGATGCTGGTTGTTGGTGGTGGTGTTGACCTTGTCTTTGGACTTGCACTCCCTCCCGAATTCTCCCTGCCCCTCTGTGACCCTGCTCAAGGGAAGTGCGTTTCCAACCCTCCCCCGCCCCCCCCTCCCTCCCCCGCCTGAAAGGTCCCTGATGCTTGGAAGGCTTTGCGTGATGTTTACTGCAGTGTTCACAGGGATTTACGCTCAGTCCTTCCCGCTGCAGTTTTGAAATTTCCTCGCTCTGCTTGAGAGAGAGGCGGTTCGTTGCAAACCCAGCCGTATTTTTGGGTGGAGCCGCCCAGGGCAGACGGCTCCAAGTTCGGGCCGCAACGGGATTGCCCAAACCAGCCTCGTTCTGGTGGGAATTTGGTTGCAGAGCAGGAGAGGACTTCAGAAGGTCAGGGGGATTCTGATACATTTTCACTGCGAGCCCCCTGGAGCAAAGGCTCATTATTCTGGATTTGCCAGGTGCTGAAGTGTCTCTCTGTCTCTCAAATAATCACCGACTCCTTTTCCATTATGAAAAGAAAAGCCAAGGTTTAATGTAGAAAATTTAGACAGTATGAGCTCGAAAAGAAGAGCATAAAATTAAAACCATCTTCTAAGTACCCAGGGAGGGTCACCGCTAAAAAATACCAGAGGTCCAGACTTCTACTGTCATCCATTCTGTCACCGTCAGAGGAAAGATCCCTGCCCCCTCCCAGCCTGAGGGTATGTAATGAGTTACCCGTCAGGACCTCAGGACCCCAGCGCAGCTCTTCCTGCCCACGGGTCCTGTCCCCGTGCTTTCATAAAATCACCTTTTTTTGCCCCAAAGACGTCTTCAACAATTCTTTCTTGGCCTTTGGCTTCGGACCCCACGAGTCCCCCCATCACCCCAAAACTTCATCATTTGGACCCAGGCAAATACTAGCCTGCTTTCTGTCACTCTCTCTCTCTCTTTTAAATATTTTTTTCTATAAAAATTTAAAGTTTTTTTTATTGTTGTAGAACCAACACGTAAAATGATCGTTTAAACTATTTTAAAGTGTGCAGTTTAGGGGCGCCTCGGTGGCTCAGTCAGTTAAGCATCCGACTTCAGCTCAGGTCATGATCTCGCAGTCCGTGCGATCGAGCTCCGCATCGGGCTCTGTGCTGACAGCTCAGAGCCTGGAGCCTGCTTCAGATTCTGTGTCTCCCTCTCTCTCTGACCCTCCCCTGCTCTTGCTTTGTCTCTCTCTCTCTCAAAAATAAACATTAAAAATAAAAAAAAAAGTCAAGTGTGGGGGCGCCTGGGTGGCTTAGTCGGTTAAGCATCCGACTTTCGCTTAGGTCATGATCTAGCGGTTCGTGGGTTCGAGCCCCGCGTCGGGCTCTGTGCTGCCTGCCAGCTCAGAGCCTGGAGCCTATTTCAGAGTCTGTATCTCCCTTTCTCTCTGACCCTCCCCTGCTCAAGCGGTCTCTCTCTCTCTCTCTCCTAGAAATAAATAAAAATATTAAAAAAAAAAATTGTACTGGGGTAGGCTTCACTTAGGAAAACTGTGAGAAGCTGGACTTTGAATCAATTCGACCATTTTCTCGTGCCACACAATCATTGTTTTAACAAATAAACACCTTTACCAAAAACCTATTTCATGTGAACACCATGATTTGTGAATGCCACTTTATGGAGGATGCGATGGAATGTTCCCAGTACCTTGCTGTGTGCATCTAANTTTTCTTTCTTTCTTTCTTTCTTTCTTTCCTTCCTTCCTCTCTCTTCTTCCTTTCTCTCTTTGCTTCCTTTACTTCTTTCTTTCTTCCTTTCCTCCCCTCCCCTCCCCTCCCCTCCCCTTTCCCTTCCCTTCCCTTTCCTTATCACGACACAAGGAAACCTTGAACCCATTAAGCAGTCACTCCCCATCACCCCTTCCCCCAGGCCCTGGCAACCCCTCCTCTCTCTCCTGTCTGTGTGGATTTGCCTGTTCTGGACATTTGCATAGACGGAATCCTACACTCTGTAGCCTTTTGTGGCTGACTTCTTTTCACTCTTTTGGGGTTCATGCATGTGGTAGCGCGCCAGCGCTGCACCCCTTTCATCGCTGAGCAATGTCGCGCTGTGTGTGGGCGGATGCAGCACGTGTTATCATCCACCTGCCGCGGCACCTGGGGCGTCTCAGCCTCCGGCCGCTGTGAACGGCGCGGCTGTGAACGCGGGTGTGCGGGGGCTTGTTTGGCGACCTCGTTTGCGTTTCTCCGGGCACCTGCCTGGAAGCGGAGTTGCGGGGTCACCTCGTTTTCCGCCCGAGTTTCAGGAGCACAGGACCTCGGCCCGAGCCTCTGCCCCCTGGAGGTTCCCGGACCTTGCAGCTCCTCTAGGTGGGGTGGCATCGGCCTGGAGCGCCCCCTCCTCCCCGTGGGAGCAGGGCTGGGGCGGGGAGGGCTTGGGGCTGCTTTCGCTTCTCCATTAGACACCCCCCCTTCCGCGTCCAACACGGATGATCGCGGTTTTCTCCATCTCCTGGGACGTGCGTACAGCTCCCACACCCCAGTTCCGGGGCCGCTCGCGGTCGCTGCGCTTGTGAATCCACAGGCCCTTCGGCCTCCCCATCAAGGGGTCACAGCCATCGGGCTGGGAACAGGCGCCGGAGGACCGCCGTCGGGACCTATGGCGACAGCAGGGGGCGCATACTCTTTGCGTAGCAGCTCCACCTCCGGGAGTGTGTCCTGCACTCGTGAGTCAAGACGCGGTGGGGGAAGTGAGCAAGGCCACTCGTTACAGCGCTGTCACGGGAGAAGCGCGGAAACGCTACAAACGTCCGTCCACTTCTTGGCTGAAGAAGTGCTGGGTGTCCCCCTGGCGAGTGCGGCTGGAAAAAGACTAACGGCACTCTCTCTGGTTCGTGCGTTCGAGCCCCGCGTCGGGCTCTGTGCTGCCAGCTCGGAGCCTGGAGCCTGCTTCGGATTCTGCGTCTCCCTCTCTCTCTCTGCCCCTCCCCTGCTCACGTTCTGTCTGTCTCTCAAAAATAAACATAAAAAAAAAAACTAAAATAAAGGCGCTTTGTCAGAATTTCCAGAAATCTTAGTACTAAAAGTATGGTGCCCAACGGTTTGTCTGAGACATTACCTAGTATGGAAAAAAGGACATATATTTGTTCTGTGTGCATTTAAAAAGCTTTTAAAATGTTTGTTTATTTTTAATGTTTATTTATTTCTGACTGAGAGAAAGAGAGACAGAGCACCAGGCATGGGAGGGGCAGACACAGAATCCGAATCGGACTCCAGGCTCTGAGCTGTCAGCACAGAGCCCGAGGCAGGGTCGAACTCAGGAGCTGTGAGATCATCACCCGAGCTGAAGCCCAACGCTTAGCCAACGGAGCCACCCAGGCATCTCAATGTTTATTTTTGAGAGAGAGCATGAGCCGGGGAAGGGCAGGAGAGAGAGAGACAGAAAGAGACAGACAGAGACAGAGGACCCAAAGTGGGCTCTGCGCCGACAGCACAGAGCCCTGTATGGGGCTCGAACTCACGAACCGTGAGATCACACACTGAAGTCGGAGGCTTAACCGACTGAGCCACCCAGGTGCCCCCGTTCTGTGTACCTTAATAACCTCACCTGACGCTAGTCCCATGGCTATGGCGGTGGGAGTGGTGGCTAAAAGGCGTTCCCTCATATGGCACAAAGGCTTTGCGGGTGTGATTGAGGACCTGGAGATGGGGAGCTTATGGAGAGGGGCCCACGTGGGTCTAATGTAGTCACAGGAAAGAGGGAGGCGGGGAGGTCAGAGGAGGAGGCTGGAACGTGGGGGCCCGGGGAGGAAAGGCCAGGTGATGGTCCTCACACCAAGGAAGATGGGGGCCACCTCCAGAAGCTGGGGAAACGGGGAGCAGAGTCTCCCCTGGGGCCTCTGGAGGAACCCACCCTGGGGAAGCCTTGTAGCCCCGTGAGGCTCATTCTGGACTTCTGACCTCCAAGAGCTGTAAGAATCATTTTTGTGTTTCAAGCCACAAAGTTTCTGGTAACACGGTTCCCCCATCTAAAATGGACTATTTGGTGGGTGTTGGTGTATTACATTAGTAATTTTCAAAACTTGTAGGAAAATAGAGGGGCGCCTGGGTGGCTCAGTCGGTTAAGCATGCGACTCTTCAATCTCAGCTCAGGTCCTGAGCTCAGGGGCATGAGTTCAAGCCCCAGGATGGGCTCTATGCTGGTTGTGAAGCGTATTTTAAAAGAAAATCGTAGGAAAATAGAGATGACCAAAATGGCCCATTTTAGGCATTTTAAAGTGTATAATTAATTACATTCTCAGTGTCGTGCGAAACTGGATGTCCGTAAGCAAAAGAATGAAGCTGGACCCTTTCCTTATTCTCTATGTGCAAATGAACTCAAAGTGGATGCCCTGATGTTTTTTTTTTTTTTTTAAATAACTCTCGATTTGGGGATGTTCATATAGGACGTAGTTAAAAATATTAAAGAGAAGGGCACCTGGGCAGCTCAGTCAGGTAGGCGTCTGACTTCGGCCCAGGTCATGATTTTGTGGTTCATAGGTTCGAGCCCCGCGTGGGTCTCTGTGCGGACAGCTCAGAGCCTGGAGCCTGCTTCGGATTCTGTGTCTCCCTCTCTCTCCGCCCCTCCCTTGCTCCTGCTCTCTTCATCTTTCAAGAATAAATAAACATTTAAAAAAACGATATAAAAACATTAAAAATAATATAAAATATTAGAGAAATAAAACGAGCTCTCCCCAGGACATCTGGGGATCCTGGGGAGGAGGGACATCCCTGTGGCCTTCCTGATTCAGGTGCTTGCTCCCACGCCCTTGCTTCTGTCCCACACGTTGACAGTCCACACAAAAGTCAGCCCCTCCCCCATTCCCACAGAAGACCCCCCTTTGCGCACTGAGACTCTAAGGTGTCATGAATTAACTTTAATGAGGGATGCGCAGGGTTTATGTAGTAGCAACGCGACGGATTTCTCACGTTGCCCCCACCCCCGCCCCTCACAGGTGGCCCGAGAACTTCCTGTTTTCTCTTGCAGGGCAGCTCATGCATCACGCTCTGGTTTAGTTAGCATCCTGGCCCGAGGCCTTATTCCCTGCAGGCTGTTTCCCCAACATGCAGTCTTTTTTTTTTTTTAATATTTTTATTTATTTCTAGGAGAGAGAGAGAGACACAGCTTGAGCAGGGGAGGGTCAGAGAGAGAGGGAGTCACAGACTGAAACAGGCCCCAGGCTCTGAGCTGGCAGTCAGCATAGAGCCCGACGCGGGGCTCGAACCCACGAACCGTGAGATCACGACCTAAGCGAAAGACGGATGCTTAACTGACTAAGCCACCCAGGCGACCCCCCCAACAGGCAGTCTTGCTGTGAGAGGACTTCTGGTGCCAGGACCCAAGACCAGAGACTGTGGTAAAGGAAACGTGTGCACAGTGTCTGGGCAGCTCTGCGTCTGGGACCTCGGGCCATGTCGTCCCTGGTCTGAGGGCCCTGTGTCTTGCACAGATGTGGTTCCTGCTCCCTCGGGGCCTCTTCCCCCTTGTTTTGACACTTTGCTTGCCTTGCTGGGTGACTGGCTCCCCTTCTCGGGTGGTCCCGCCAACCCCGCACCCTGGCTGTGATCTCCCGGGAACTGCGTCCTGGCAGGGGGTGCCTGGAACTCACACCCTCCAAGTTCCTGTCCACCAGTTGCTCCTGCTCCTGGGTCAGCGCTGAGCAGCTGAGGTCCAGCCTCGGGTTCTCTTAGGGATTGAGGGTCGGCAGCTATTTCTTATAACCACAGGGATTTCACCCATACGGAGATTTAGAAGTTCAAGGCCAGAGGTCAAATTCCTATAAAAATTCTCTGGCAGCTGGAACAGTCTATGTGGCCCCACGAGGCAGGAAAGGGGTAACCTTGCCCAAAGAAAGATTTGGCCCTTTGCCCTTTGCCCCTGGCTCCAGGAGGCAGGTCTTGGCCGACAGTCCTTTTAGTTTGCCTGGGGCTGTGGGTTGCACAGGACAGTTTACGCTAACAGTGTGATTGATAGGGGGACCTTAAGACAGGGTGTCTTGGCGGCACGGATCAATGTAAGTGGGGCCTTAAGACTTCTGCTCAGATCATGATCTCAAGGTTCCTGAGTTCAAGGCCCACATGGGGCTCTGGGCTGACAGTGCGGAGCCTGCATGGGACTCTCTCCCTCTCTACTGCTCTCTTTGCCCCTCCCCCACTTGTGCTCTCTCTCAAAATAAATAAACTTAAAAAAATAATATAGTGGGAAGGGAAGCAAAAATAATATAAAAACAGGGAGGGAGACCAAACCGTGAGAGACTGTGCAATACGGAGAATGAACTGAGGGTCGCTGGTGGGGTGTTGGGGGGCTGCGCTATCTAGTAGAGGGGCATTAATGGGGACTCCCTGTTGGGAGGAGCACCGGGTGGCATATGTAACTTCTATTCCTGAGATCATTATTACCCTCTACGTTAGCTTACTTGGATGTAAATTAAAAATAATAATAAATAGTTGAAAATAATCATACAGCGGCGCCTTGAGCTACAGAGGTGTTGGAGATCACAGTCAGCTCCGCGGGTGCTCGGCCGTCCCTCCCATGAGGGGGCCCTGGCAGAGACACTGCCACCAAACTGCGGACGTCCAACCTCGGTGTCCTTCCCTGGACGGCGGGACCCTGTCGTGCTGTCGCACACCGTCGCTGGGAGAAGTCAGTGCCGCCGAGCGGGGGGGACGGAGAGCGGCTGCGGGGTCTGTCTGGGCCGGTGCCCCCAGGGGCCCTTCACCCACGCTGCTGACCTGAATCATACTCTCGCCATGAGGACCTGAAGCTGCAAGTGTTACCCGGGGTCTGGGGGTCCTTTCAGGGATACCTGAACCGAGGGCGGTGGCGGGGACACCCGGACCTGCACCGGCCACGGCCCAGCGGGGCAGAGGGGACATTCTCGAGGTAGGTCTGGCATGAGGAAGGCGGCCAGTGTCTTTGGAGGGAGGCCTCCCCCACTGGGGCAGAGGCCGGCGGGGAGGCCCTGTCCTCCCCACCCCTAGTCTCTCTCTCCAGCAGTCCCGATGATGACGATGATGATGACACTGTCACCATGCTGTCACTTCGAGCTCTCTGTGGGCGGGTCCTGGAAAGAGCCACCGTTAAGGTCCACTGCGGTGTAGGTGATGCACTGGAAAGCAGAGAGTCAAACTTTAGCCACAGGGCCTTGCAACAAAACGTTCCCAGCGAGGCCAGCGAGTGGCAGGCCTGTCCCTGCCCCTCCCTGGGGGCCAGGGCGCCACACCCTCCCTTGATCACAGCCCAAAGGCCAACAAGCCATTGAGGAGGCAGCGTGAGTGAGCAGGCAGGGAAGGGGCGCCTGTGGACATGCAGATCCCCAGCGCAGACCCCCCCCCCAGACCGGACTCTCAGTGGGAGGGGGGGTCAAGCTTAGCAAACGGCTCAGCCGCGTCCGGAGGCAGGAGGCAGGAAAGGTCGGGAAGCACCGCTCGCGGCCTCTGGGGGAACGCTCCGGGACTGGCTTCTCACGCCAGGCTGGCTCCTGGGTACGGGCCGCAGGTGCCCAGGACATCTGCCCCCTCCTTGGGCGAGACCGGGCGCACAGTCTGTGGTTTGGGCAGAATCCACCCCCTCCCCCTCATCCCCGCAACCCTCCCCGGCTCCACCACCGCACTCACCCCATTGGCAGAGGAGCTGTTTCGGGCCCGACCTGGGGAGAGAGGAGGAGAGGTTGTCAGGGACTGATGACAGTGCCGGACGCCAGCACGCACGCGGGTGGCAGCGCCCGCTGAGTTCCTGGTACTGCTATTGACGCGGGGCGGCCACTCACCACCGCGGTTTATACATTTTGTAAAACAGGCCTGGGGTATATGCCTCCCCTGTTATTCGTTTTGCTATTAAGTATAAATGATTATTTCTTTATTAAAATGTTTTCTTTAATGTTTATATTTGAGAGTGAGAGAGACAGAGCGCAAGCAGGGGAGGGGCAGAGAGAGGGAGAGACACAGAATCTGAAGCAGGCTCCAGGCTCTGAGCTGTCAGCACAGAGCCCAACACGGGGCTCAAACTCACAAACTCTGAGATCATGACCTGAGCCGAAGTCGGACGCCCAGCTGAGCCACCCAGGTGCCCCTAAACGCATATTCCCCGAGCATGGGCTCTGGAACCTGATAGAAGATTCGAAATCCTGGCTCTGTCCTTTAGGAGCTGTGTGACCTTGGGCAATTGACTGAACCTCTCTGTGCCTCAAGTTTCCTCAACCATCAAACGGGTTTATTCAGCACATAAGAAATGTCCACTTTGGGGGAGTTTGGGCGGCTCAGTCGTCTGACTGTCTGGCTCCTGATTTTGGCTCAGGTCGTGATCTCACGGTTTGTGGGTTCAAGGCTTGCATCGGGCTCTGTGCTGGCCATGAGGAGCCTGCTTGGGATTCTCTTTCTCTCTTGCCCCCCAGCCCCCACTTGCTCACTCTCTCTCAAAAACGAATTAAAAACATTAATTAAAAAAAAACATTAAAAAGAAAAGAAATGTCTAGTTTACATCAGGTGCATTCGAGGCTCTGCAGATACATCCGTGAAGAAAAGAGACAAAAATTCCTGCCCGTACGGAGCCTGTATTAATCAGAGTGATAGTGCTGCCAGCAATGATGGATACAGCTCATACACACCCCGCCTGTGGCTTACCCTGTGCTAAATGCTGTGCGACGTGTGTTACCTACACAAGCAGGTACACGTACTCCCATTTCCAGATGAGGAAACCGAGTCAAAGAGAGGAGGTCATTTGCCCGCGATGACACAATTAATAAAGAAGTAAGAATGAGGGCCCAGACCCAGGCAGTCTGGTCTGTTTCTGGAGATGCCACACTTGGCACACACTTCCTCCAGGGGCCCTTGCGTGCCCGGCCTCGCGGCAGGTGGTGCTGGGGACATGGCCGTGGCCTTATGAATGACAGTTCTGGCTCTCCCCTCCGAGGGATCGCAGGGCGTTGGAGAGACCATGTCCCAGAATGGGGCAAGGGCTGGGGTGGGGGAGCCCAGGGAGATCAGGGAGGGCTTCCTGGAGGAGGAGGAGGGGGAGGAGGAGGAGGAGGAAGGGGCCTCCAGCTGGGACGTGAGGCAATTTTGTTCAGTGGTCGAGGGGACGAGCTTTGTAGTCAGCAGAACTGCTTTCTACTCCTCTGACTTCCCAGCTGACTGCAGCTCTCCAAGCAAACATCTCCTCATCTGTAAAATGGGGCTCACAGCACGAGGCCCGCTGCAGTGTACGAGTGTGTGCGCGCGCGCTCTTTTCAAGGAGAGGCTGCGCGGAAAGTGACGGCCAGGTAGGAAGAGCTCTGCAAAATGCCGCTCTTATACAGCTCTTCTCGCGAAGCCCAAGGACTTCACCAGAAGGGGCCGTGGGGAGGGTGCTCCAGGCAGGGAACAGCCTGTGTGAAGCCCTTGAGTTAAGAGCATCAGGCCCTTGGGGGGCGCCTGGGTGGCTCAGTCGGAGCGTCCGACTCCTGCTCAGGTCATGATCTCATGGTCCCTGGGTTCGAGCCCCGCGTCGGGCTCTGTGCTGACAGCTCAGAGCCTGGAGCCTGCTTCCGATTCTGTGTCTCCCTCTCTCTGCCCCTCCCCTGCTTGCACGCTTTCAAAAATAAATGAACAGTAAAAAAAATAAATAAATAAAAGTTTTGGGTCCTTTAGAGCATCAGGCATCCTTTAGGGTGTCCGTGCTGCTATGGTCCCTAAACATTTGTACAAGGAGTCAGTGATCCAAGGAGCCAGATTCCTTGAATGTGGGGCCCCCGTGTGTAAAACGGGGGGACCCCAAGGCACCCCGAGGCACTGAGGATTCAGTGGGAGATGGCCTAGGCGCCCGGCCACGACAGCTGTGGGGACATTCGCTCACGGCGGAGGGGCAGGGGATATGGTAAAGAGGAAGGACTCACGGGAGCGTCTGAGCCACCACAAAATCAGCAGCACCACCAGGACCACTATGACCACAATCAGGATGATCAGGACGATGGACAGGCCTCTCTGTGACACCTCCTTTGGAGACTCTGCTGGAAGAGAAGCAAGAGCCAGGGTTGGGTCCCCGGCCCCCAGACCCTTACTCCGAATCCTTTAGGAAGCTACCACTCCGCCTCCCTTGGTCTGTACCGTTCAGGGGGACTTGACCCCACCCTGTGGCTCTTAGCACGAGACTTCGACCCCGGCCTGGCTGATCAGAGCATTGCATTGTCCGTGGCTGTTGTGAGGGATTCCGAGGGCAGGGTGGGGGTGTGGGGGGGTGCGGGTTGTGACCCGGGCTGCATCAGTGACCGTCAGCCCTGGGACCTGGGCTAGAGCTACGGAAAGTGGTGTCTTCTCTCTCCTGGGGCTACTTAACCGGGGGAGACGCGAGGCCACAGCCGCTGAGGGGACATCTCGCCTCCCGGAGGGGGACCCTCTCTGAGCGCACATGCAGTCGGCCCAGAGCAAAGCAGAGACGGGAGACGTAAAGGAAAGTTCTGGGGTTACCCCCAGCTGGAGCGTGTGGATCTGACCGCACCTGAAGGTGCGTTTTTCAATAAAGTCCCGTTTTTTTTGTTTTTTGCTTAGACTATTTTGAGCTGGGCTTCTATCAACCGCAATGGACAGAGGGCTGCCTAATATGGTTGGGAAGGCCTTTCGGGGTCCCTGGGGACAAGCCTCAGGCAACAGCCCCGGCCTGGGTTTGCGGCGTGGCGCAGGTGTGGCCGTTGCAATGGGTCAGACGGTGCATTCATGGGGTGAAGCGGACCGCTGGTCCTTCCGGGAGGGGGCGAGGGGTTGAATGGGAATTCGGGAGCGTTCTTGTGGCTGAAGGCTCCCTAACCAGGGATCGCCTCCGCACCTCTCCCTCCGGAGGGATCTGTTCCCTTCGGTCCCTCTGTTCTCTCCACCCGGGGTGGGGGGAGGGGGTCCTCACCTGTCACCAGGACGGTCAGTTCTGCCTGGCCAGTCCCTAGGGCGTTGGTGACGCGGCAGACGAAAGTGGTGTTGATTGACTTGTCCACGGTACGGATCAGGAGCCGTGAGCCCTGGGGCTCAGCAGAGGGTGGCACGGGACCCTGGGTCCTGGGAGACACGGACGGGCGAGGAGGCGGCAGGTGTGAGCTCTAACTGTATGAAGCTAAGCCAAGCGAAGGCCCGAAAGTTCCCTGAGTCCTCCTCTCATGCCCACACCCAGCCCGGCAGCAGGTGCCGTCCGCCCCACCTTCAAACCCTCTCCAGACTCTGACCACTCGGCCGTCCTCCCTGGGGGCCGAGCACCCACCCCCACCCCGTTCCTGGGCTGCGTCGGCCACCTTCTCACAGGGCTCCCTGCCTCCACGGCAGTGGGCAGAGAGATCCCGTTAGAACGAAGCTGTTCGCCACCCTGCGCTCTTCAGTCAACCTGTGACTCCTGCGTCACTCCGTGTAGACCCCAAGTACAGACCCCATGAGCCGGCTGCGGGTACCACTGTCCACACTGTCTGCTACGCCCCCCATGGGGCCCTACTCATCTTCGAACGCTACAGTGATGCCACCACCTCAGGGCCTTTGCATATGCTGTTCCCTCTGCCGGGAATGGTGTTCCCCTGTGTCCTGGCACAGCTCACCCTCACTTCCTTCAGGCCTCTGCTCAGACGTCACCTCAGTGGCACCTTCGCTGGCCACGCTGTTTTAACTGCCACGTCCCCCTCCCCTGCTTTACCTCTTCCCCAGCATTAATCCTTGGCCGACACCCTCTGCTTTACAGTATTACTTTGTTTACCCTTTCCCTCCCTGGCTAGAATGGAGGCGCCAGGAGGGGAGGGAATTTGGTCTGTTTTATTTGCCAAGGTATGTTGGCCAATGGCACTCAAGGAACAGTCAAAACACTTTGGTGTAATGGATGGAGGAGACGCCAGCGCGGGTCTGGGGCATTTTGCGGAGCTGGGACGGAACCCGGCTATGTGGCTCCCGCGCCTACATCGCGGCTGGTGGTTTGAGGTGGGACAGTAAAGGCATCAGCCGACACCATTGGAAGAGCTTTGACTGAGATTCCTTTGACTGGCGGTAGAGACTTGACTGCGGCCATCCCGACACAGACAGGCAGGGACGGCCACCACTGCTGCATCCGCGTGGGTGCAAACGGGGCACGAGCTCACGTTCAGACCCGTCAAATAAGCGAGGATGGAGCCAGCATCACTGGAAAGGGGACCATGGACGCTTCGAAATGCACGAAAGGTGAAAGACTGCCGGATGGAGGGAGGGGTGGACTGAGGGACAGAAACGTGCTAGAGCGAGTCCAGCAAAAGGTCAGTGGGAGAATCCACACGGTGGGTGTTCACTGGAAAATTCTTAACATCTTTTCTGTATGTCTAAAAACTGCCCTGAGGAAACGTTGAGGGGAAATGGGGAGGTGGGTCGATGGGCTGGGACCCAGGAAGGCGTTCATGCGTTAGGGGAAAAGTTTTGAAATTGTACCTGTAGCAGTTTTTGTTCAGAAGCATAGAGAATAAAAGACAGGAAGGATATATAACAATGGGTAATGGTGGATATTTCTGGAGCTGGCTGGGTACACTTGACTACGGGTGCTGTTTTTTCTTGCTCATTACTGGATTGTCTCAAGTTTCTATGATGGTCAGAAGTTATTTTGTAATAAGAACGAAAGCCCGGTACAAATTTTCTAAGACAATCTGTCCCTTTGCCTTTTTCTTTCCCCACTCTTAACCCTGGCTTTGGCATGAACTTGAGGAAATCTGACTGCTCTGTACTGGGGCCAGACCTGCTCCATCAGAAGTGACTGAGCAGACTACATGAGGGGACCGGGTGGGGGTGGGGAGGTAGCACAGCCCAGAGGTTAAGAGGGTTGGTTTGCAGCCACTTCTGCCCCCTTGTGGCTATGGGACCCCCCCGAAGGACTGTACCTATTGGGGCCCAACTTATCTTTCTTCTTTAATTTTTAAAAAGTGCTTATTATTTTTGAGAGAGAGAGAGACAGAGCGCGAGTAGGGGAGGGGCAGAGAGAGAGGGAGACCCAGAATCTGAAACAGGCTCCAGGCTCCGAGCTGTCGGCCAGAGCCCGACGCGGGGCTTGAACTCATAAACTGTGAGATCATGATCGGAGCAGAAGTCAGATGCTTCACTGACTGAGCCACCCTGGCGCCCTGGGCCCCAACTTATCTTTAATCCCAGGGTAATAGTGCTTCCTATGCCCAGAGTGTGGGCATCACATGGGGTCAGGTGACCACGGGTGCACAGCAGACAACGGACAAGAACAGGTGTAATGGTGAACCTGAACTAACCCCCTTTATAAACTGTGCGCACCAGACAGAAATTTCACTGGGACCTAAAGTCAACTCCTCTCTTTTTACTTTCTTGTGCCTCCCTCCTCCCTCAGGCTCAGGAATTCTGCCCCCAGCCCCTCCTCCCTCAGACCCAGGGGTCCAGGCCCCCAGCTCCTCCTCCCTCAGATCCAGGGAACCAGGCCCCCAGCCCCTCCTCCCTCAGACCCAGGGAACCAGGCCCCCAGCGCCCCCCCCAGACTCGGGTCCAGGTCCACCCAGGACTCACGTGCTCCAGTTGTAGCCCGTGGGCTCTGGTTTGCTGCGGACGTCACAGGTCAGGGTGGCCTCGCTGTGGCCGAGGTACCAGTTATCATCATAGCCGGAGATGGAAACCTCGGGCGGGTCTGGAGGAAACAGACACACAGACCCTTCAGGGGGGCCAAAGACATGTGGGATCATGTCGTAATGAGGAAAGGCCTCCTTGATTTTGGGAACAGCTCAAGAGAGAGACATCTGTCAGGAGCCCAGGGCAATGGATCCCCTCAGAGAATAAATAAGAGGCCAGAAGTCCTCAGCAGGGTGGGAGATAGCGGGGTGTTGAGAAGGCTTCTCAGGACCTGTTTCTCTCTACTCGTTTTCCTGGGTAAGCCAGGTCCTTGTGTGCCTTGGGTGTCCTGTGAGAAAAGGCCTCTTAGACACTCATAACCCACAGAAGCATATTCAAGGCTCTGACAAGTCCTGCAGGAAGAATCCTGGATGACCCTGCTTCAGCTGCTATTTATCCAGCCTAAATGTGATTGGCCAGGAAGGTGTTTCAAAGTCCCTGGTGGGGCACCTGGGTGGCTTAGTCGGTTAAGCGTCCAACTTTCGCTTAGGTCATGATCTCGCGGTTCATGGGTTCGAGCCCTGCGTCAGGCTCTGTGCTGACAACCAGCTCAGAGCCTGGAGCCTGTTTCAGTCTGTGACTCCCTCTCTCTCTGACCCTCCCCTGCTCACGCTGTCTCTCTCTCTCTCTCTCTCTCTCCTAGAAATAAACAAAACATTAAAAAAAATTTAAAAAAACAAAACAAAAAAACAAATTCCCTGGGGGGAAGGCCAATGAAACAGAGTGGGTTTTTTCTCTCTCTTTTTTTTTTTTTTTTTTTGGTGGGGAGGAAGCAGTGTCAATCCCTTCCTCCCTCACACCCAGTGGCAAGGTTGAGGGTGTCCAGTGTAGACAGTGCCTGAGGGAATCAGTGTAGCAACTACTTGGAGGGAGTACTCAGTGTAGACAGTGAAGGGAGGACACAGCCCCCTGGATGAGCCAGTGTAGACAGTACTGGGAGCCAGCGCGAGACAGAACCGAGGAGAGACAGAACCGAGAACCAGCAGAGAAAATGTCAAGTGTCAATGTCGACAGACGTCACAGCAGGCGGTCTAGACAATGTGGGGAGCAGCGACAACTTCCCACAGCTGGTGGCCAAGCTTCCCACAGCGGGGGCAGCGCGGTCTGTGGCCCATGCGTCCGGCATGGATGATGGAGAAACAGTGTAGAAAATGGTCACAGGACGTGGTATAAACAATGCAGGAAGCACTGTAGCCATGAGCAAGGTCGGTGTAGACAGCTGGCTCGGGAAGCGGGTGGAGGCAGTGTGCGTAGACGATGCTCAAGGGAGAACGGGGTGGGGTGTCCATGCAGACAGAGCCAGGGTAGATGAGAGAAGTGATGAAGGACGCAAAAGACACTGCTGTCGGGACCCAGGGCCCCCCGTGGACAACGTGGTGGGGCAGAGACCGTCGTGTGGAAGCCCTGCTCTTGCTCACACTGGGCACACTCACAAGGCACAGCGAGGGTCACGGGCAGCAGGACGGGCTTCTTGAAGCTCTCGTGCTCCACTCGGCAGGTGACGTTCTGGCCGTCCGCCTGGCTGGAGGGCATGATGGTCAAGAGGCTGACGACATCGGCTGTGCCAGGCAGGTGTCCTGGCACCAGGCTCTCATTGGCCTTCCCGCCCGGGAGTGACCAGGAGATCCGGGCGGGCGGGCGGCCTCCACGGGACGTGCAGCGGGCCACGGGCACGGGCCCCGGGCCGAGCGGGCCGAGCGGGACCTCCTCGGGCTCAGCCTTGTTCTCCGGCTGGGCTGTGGAGGGGAGCGAAAGGGACCGGTTAGTCCTCGCCTGCGGTCCTTCAATGGACAGCTCAGCAGCGGGCGGGGGAGCCGGCTGAGAGAACAGGAGGGCCAGGTTCAAATCCCAGCTCCGTCCCTGAGCCACTGGGTGGCTTCGGGCACGTCTGTGCCTCAGTTTCTCTGCCTGTCAACTGGGGATAATGATAGGCTCACAGGCAATGAGATTATGCAGAAAATCGTACTTGGCGCATAACAACTGCTTGGTAACTGATATTATTGGGAAGTGAAGGCATTGCCTGGTGGTATGATGGGCAGTGTCGGGCACCCGGGCATGACTGAGACGGCCCTGGACCTGCCTTCATAGGGTACACAGTCCAGGGGGAAGACAGACTTCCCCACATACTGGCACCCCAGAGCGGGCCAGGCTGGGATGGGGGACCCCAGAAGGAGTGCTGCAGTCTGTGGTAGCAGTTAAGGAGGCCTTCATGGAGGAGGGAAGGGCTGAGCAGGTCGAGAAGGGAAGTGAGGGGCTCAAGGTGACGCAATTGTAATGGACAGAGCTAGGCTTTCACACAGGTCTGACTCCAAACCCATCTTGACCATTTCTCTTTCTCTTATATGTATATATGTATATATATATATACACACACATATATATGTATGTATAAACACACATATATGTATGTATATACACATGCATATATGTGTATATATATACTTTAACGCTTATTTATTTATTAAAATTTTTTTTCAATGTTCTTATTTATTTCTGAGAGAGAGAGACAGCGTGAGCAGAGGAGGGTCAGAGAGCGAGGGAGACACACAATCCGAAACAGGCTCCAGGCTCTGAGCTAGCTGTCAGCCCAGAGCCCGACGCGGGGCTCGAACCCACGAACCGCGGGATCATGACCTAAGCGAAAGTCGGACGCTTAACCGACTAAGCCACCCAGGCGCCCCTCCTTTATCATAATTCTGGTGATCCCCAAACCTGGGGTTTCACTTGGTTCCTTCCTCATTATTGTCTGTTGTTGTAGTGTGATTATGGGCGGGAAGTTTCTCTTAAATTTGACTCACTGGTTGGGTTTTTTTTTTTTTTGTAAAATACTGAGAATTTTATGTAAAGTACATAAAATTTCCAAAACAACTATTACCTGGTCTACTTGGTATCTGGGATGAGTAGGTTGCTAACAAAAATATTATCTGACATTAAAACTAGTTTCTATCTCTGCCGGCATGGAGTTTGGAGGAGCTTCACTGCAGACATGAAAAGCCGTGTTTCTAGTTGTTCCTTTTTGTTTCTAATAAACATTTTTAAATGTTTTTATTTTATTTCTTGATGAAGAGACAGAGTGCGAGTGGGGGAGGAGCAGAGAGAGAGAGGGAGACACAGAATGGGAAGCAGGTTCCAGGCTCTGAGCTGTCAGCACAGAGCCCAGCTCTGGCTCGAACTCACGAACTGTGAGATCACGACCTGAGCTGAAGTCAGACGCTCACCGGACTGAGCCCCCCAGGCGCCCCTAGTTGTTTCTGAGTCACATAAAGGATCACAGTAGGGGCTGCAGAATGTGGTGCACAGCATAAAGGACGCTCTCAGGACCAAAGTGACGGAGGTGGATGAATGTTTTTCCCATCTGCCACTGGGTATTGTGAGCCCCCCAACACCGTCCCTGCGATTATCTCCTCTCAGGTTCATGGCCAGCGACCCGCGAGGCTTCCGCAAAGGACGTTTTCTCTGGTTTTCCCACGACAGGGGCTTTGATGGCTGGGGCATATTCTAAAGCAGTCATGACCGGGCCGGGCCGCAGGGACAGACTATACGTGGCTTTGGGGTTGCTATCAGAGGTGCCTCATCCAGGATGAACCGCAGTGCTCGATTCAGAATTTGATAATGAAAATATTCCGGTGCGAAGCCTAGGACCACAGCATGAAGATCCCTTTTTTTGTGGGCGCCTGGGGGGCTCAGTCGGTTCAGGGTCTGACACCGGCTCAGGTCATGATTTCACAGTTTGTGGGTTCGAGCCCCGCGTTGGGCTCTGTGCTGACAGCTCAGAGCCTGGAGCCTGCTTCGGATTCTGTATCTCCCTCTCTGTCTCTGCCCCTCTCCCGCTCACTCTCTGTCTCTGCCTCTCCCCTGCTCATGCTCTTTGTCTCTCTCAAAGATAAACAGGGGCGCCTGGGCGGCTCCGTCGATTAGCCCTCCGACTCTTGGTTTCGGCTCAGGTCACGGTCTCACGGTTCATGGGTTTGAGCTCCACATCGGGCTCTGCACTGACAGCGTGGAGTCTGCTTGAAATTCTCTCTCTCCCTCTCTCTCTCTGCCTCTCCCCTGCTCATGTGCTCTCTCAAAATAAATACACTTGAAAAAAATAAACATAAAAACAAAGATCACTTGTTTGAATTCCTCTGAAATCAGGTAGCGCCCCTGATCATCCCCTGGGAGCATGGGACCAACCTGTTTCTGCCTTTCCAGTCTGTTCTGTGCATTCTGATCATTAATGAAGATAATGGAGAAGGTGGGAAGGAGTTAAGTTCCTTGAAGCCCGCTCCTGTGTTTCAGCTCTCCCTCCTCTACCAACGGGAGTAACAGCCATTGACAGCGGCACAAGCTCCCAGGGGCCTCAGTTCTAAACCCGATTAAAGTCCTGAGACCCTCAGGACAGCTTTCTGACGGCGGCACTGTGGTTACCAAGCCCATTTTACAGAGGAGGCAAGGAGAATCCGAGATGAAAGCACTGGCCAAGCTGGGGGCAAACGCCGGCCCCTGCCAGCCCCCTCCCTGTCCCCCCCTTTTCTGCCCCGCACGCCTCCAGGATATTCTCCCCCCAGCCTGCAAGATCTTAACCTCGGGCTCCCGGGCCTTAACTCTCTTCCAGCCTCCAGCCCCTTCCCTCTCTGCGTCCCTCCGTCTCCGCCCCCCATCATTGCTCCACCTCCTCCTTTAGCCCGCCCAGAATCTCCGCCCCCCACCCCTGCGCCTCCCTCCACCTCCCCCCAGCCCCCAGCGGGGTCCCTGCAACGCCCTCGCCGCCGCGCTCCCCTGCTCACCCAGCACGCGAAGCCGGATGCGCGCGCTCTTGCTGCCGTCCGGGAACAGGGCGAAGCGGCAGGTGTAATTGGCTTCGTCCTCCAGGCGCAGCCCTCGAAGGGCCAGCGTCGCGTCCCGCAGCTCCTCGCCCCGCCTGGCGGCCACGAACTCCAGCCGCCCGGGCTCGGGGAAGCTGGAGCCCTGTGTGGGGTGGAAGACCGCCACGTTGACGTCGTCCCCCGCCGCGGTGCGCCGCGTCCAGGTCGCCTGGGTCACCTGCACTTTGTGTTCCAGGGGGGGCAGGTTGCACTTGAGCTCCACCGTGTCGCCCGGGAAGCCGAGCACCTGCTCTGGAGCCTGCACATCGACCGTCCCGGTCCCTGCGGGGGAAACGAGGTGGGGAGGTGGGGACGGGGTTCAGATCCGGGTCTGCGGGCTTCCGCTCACACTGGGTCACCGACCCGACCGCGCCAATTCACGGGGCCATTATTACCGTATTTCCCCGTTCTCAGCATCATCGATGTGTTTAAATGTAGTTAAAAACTTAAAGCTGCCACTGAAACCATTTCAAAGGGCACGATGCCCGTGGCATTAACTTGTGCATGTAATCATCACCGATAACTAGTTCCAGAGGTTTCTATCAGCTCAGTGTCATCAATGCCGCTGTGACGCTGTCATTATACAGCACGTCTCACTGAGGGATGGGAAAAGGGGCAGAAACACTTAAGTCTTCGAATCCATGAAATACGGTATTATTATTATTTATTATTATTATTATTATGCATGAATCCCGACTGGGAGAAGGTTTGTACATCCTGGCACAAGAGGGTGGGTGATTATAACCCAAGGATTTTGGATCCCTTCCAATCTCTGCTGTGAGGCTGCAGGCAGGTTACTCAAACTCTCTGATGCTTTTTCCTAATTTGTAACATGGGGCTAATAACAGTTAATGCTCACAGTTTGCTTACACAGATCACGGGCTGTTCTAAGTATTTTATGCATCTCTCAGCATTGAGTCCCTAAACAGCTCCTTGAGGCAGGCACTACTGTCAGCCCCACTTTACAGATGGGGAAACCAAGGCACGGAGTCATTTGCTCTAGGACACAGAGGGGGGTAAATGGGAGAAGTGGGATTTGGACCCTGGGGTCTGACATCTAACCCATAAGGCTGTGTATTAAAATCTTTCAGCCTCGGGGCACCTGGGTGGCTCAGTGGGTTGAGGGTTGAGCATGAGACTTCAGCTCTGGTCATGACCTTGAAGTGCGTTTGTGGCTTCAAGCCCTGCATCCAGCTTGCTGCTGTCAGCGTGGGGTCCTGCTTCAGACCCTCTGTCCCTCTGTCTCTCTGCCCTCCCCCCCAGCTCTCACTCTGCTCTCTCTCTCAAAAAAGTAATACTTAAAAAAATTAAAAAAATAAAAAACTAAGAAAAAAATCTTTCAGCCTAGGGCTTCAGCACACAGTAGGTCCCCGATATATGTATTGGCTCATACTGATATTAATAAATAAAATCCTATGCATTCTTATTATTAATAAAGATAATGGAGAAGGTGGGAAGGAGTTAGGTTCTTTGAACGCCAGTACTCCTACTCATTAGCTGTAGGTCTGTGTGTGGGTGGTTTCACTTCTCTGAGCTTCACTTTTCTCCTCTGTGAAATGGGCATGGTTATAGCACAGTAGAGTTGTTGGGAAGAGGAGGGGATGAAATCTTTGTAAAGGGATTAGCGCATGCCAATGACTCTATCAAGGTGAATGGTATAATCAGTATGTTATAAGGAAGAGGAAGCTGGGAGGTAGCGGACAGAGGTGCCTGGAGTGTGCTGTGTGGAGGAGGGCACAGCGTGGACACAGGGTCTGTGCTGTGTGGAGTGGTGAGCACGCCAGTGTGGGCTCCAATGCCAGCTCTCCCATCGATGCGCTTTGTGGCTCTGGGCAAGTGAGCCTCCTTCTCTGGTGCATTCCTCCACCAGGGGGCAGGCCTCCCCCACCCTGAGAGGAGTGTACTAAACACACACAGGTGCCTACTCTGTGCCAGGCCCTGAGCTGCCTCCTTAGAAGTGGCCTCCGGCAACCCTCTCCACGGCCCCACGACGTGTGCATTAGTACTTTCATCCCCACTGGACAGAGAGGGCAAGTGTGTTCCTGAGGGTCAAGCCACTTTCCTTTTTAATTTATTTGGGGGGGGGAGGGGCAGAGAGAGGGAGACACAGAATCCGAAGCAGGCTCCAGCTCTGAGCTGTCAGCACAGAGCCCGAGCTGTCAGCACAGAGCCCGACGCGGGGCTCAGACTCAGAGACCCCGAGATCATGATCTGAGCAGTAGTCAGATGCTTTACCCAGTTGAGCCACCCAGGCGCCGCAGGGCCGCTGCTCCTTGCTGGTGCCTTGGGCAAGTTACTTCCTCTCTCTGTGTCTTAGTCTCCTCATCTGTAATTGTTGGCTACAGTAGGACCCGTGTTGGGAATCTCCTTAAGGGGTTTAGGTTTCTGTGAACTCCTCACGCCTTGGGAGAAGCGCCCTGTGTTCTGGGAATCACCTTTTGGGAAACGCCGACATGGGGCACTGTGGCTTCCCCAAGTCTGCATTCGGTATGGATACTGTTCACGTGGATTATCCCTATGGTTCTTACCAAGTGCAACATCGCTCACCGTCTTCCCGGGGCACAGTCTTACGGGGTAGGTAGAAGCCCTCCCCACCCCCAACACATTTTACGGAAACAGAGTCAGGGCCATCTGATCTCAGGGCTGTATCCCCAGGAACACTGCCTGAAGCACAGTAAGCGCTCCGGAAACGCGTAAGGAATGAATGAATGCATGCATGCGTTCATACTGGACACGACCCTGGACGCAGTGTAGACCAGCCCGGGGGCCAGCCCTAGGCTCTGCCCCTTCCTGGCTCGCCCAGGCAAGCGGCTTGACCCTCAGGAACGCCCTCGCCCTCTCTGTCCAGTGGGGAGGAAAGCACTAATGTCCCTAGATCCATACATTTGGGGTCAGAAGCGGAACGGGGTTATGTGCCGCCGCCCTCCGGTCCCCCGTCAAGCGCTCCCTTGTCCCCGATCAGCGGCCCGCTGGAGTTTGGGGGGGGGCACATCCGGCCCCGGTGAATTGAAGGGCCGGGGCATGAGTCATCCTCTGCTGAGATTCTCCCAAAAGCTGGTGGCCCTACGGTGTATCCAAGTCTGGCCTGGGTCGGGCCCGGGGACCCAAGCTCTCCAGGCCCCGGGGCGGCTGGGAAGCCGGGAGGCCGCGCATCCCCGCAGGTGAAGGGGGGGGGGGGGGGGGGGGGGGGGGGGGGGGGGGGGCGGCACTCACCTGCTCTCGCGGACGCCCAGAGCAGCCACAGCAGTGATAGCAGCAGCAGCTGGCACACCATCCTGGGTCCCTCCGCGAGCGCGGTCGCCGCTGGGGCCGAGCCTCCTCCCCGGGTCTGCTGGGCCACCGCCCGACTCGGGACTGCTGCCTAGGAATCCCCGGGGCGACACCGGCGCGCTCGCAGAGACAGTCCCGACTGGGAAGTTACGCACCGCTGGTGCCGCCCCTGGTAGCTGCGGGGGGGGGCGGGGCTGCGCCGGAGCCTCTGCGCCTGCGCGCCGGAGCCCAGGGTACCGGTGGGGGCTTGTCGTCACCCCGGGCGGGCGGACTGTCCCCCGCAGGGACACAACGGGAGCTTTGTTCTCCTTCGTGCCAGTGTAATGAGCCCACTGAGTGGCGGTGATTTCGACGGCGCAGGGTAGTGATTCAACAGTTCCGCACACTTCTCCGCGCTCGTCGTGACTAGTGTACCCTTCACCCCTTCTCCCCACCCCTCTCCCCCACCTCCCCACCCCTCCCCCCCAC